TGAAGTGTTAAATGCCCCTGGCCATGCCATCACCCCCTGAAGCAGGACCTGGCCATCATCACCCCCTGCAGGAGTGCCCCAGGCTCACCTGAGATCCGAATTTGCACCTCCTCCTCCTCCTCCTCCTCATCCTCCTCCTCGTCCTTCCTGCCCAGCAGCTCGCTCTCGCCGGGGTTCTCGTCGCTGTGAGCTTCCCGGGCATCGAAGAAACGCTCCCCGCTCTCCTCAGCCCCCAGCCCCTCCAGCTCGGAGCTGGAGCCCTCCAGGTTCGTGCTGTCCATGGGCAAAGCGCCCCTGGCAGCGGGCTCCGGGCACTCGGCGGCAGCCCGGGCGCCGTGCCCGCCCGCGGCCGCTCCAGTTCTGCCGAGGCTCCCGTCCTCTCCAGGCTGCTGGGATTTGCTCTCTGGAGGCTGCAGCTCGTTGCCACTCTCTGTCTGGGCTTCCTGGGACACGGTCCTGAACCTGGGCAAGCGCTGTCTGTCCTCCAGGGGTCCCTTCTCGGCCAGGCCCAGCTGCTGCACCAGGAGCTGCCTCAGCAGCCCCACTGCAAGGACAGGCAAGGCTCAGGTGAGATGGGCAGGTGACAAAATGACAAAACTACTTCAACTTTCACCCTGCCAAGGAGCTGTGGGATTCCCACCTCAAGGAAACTGGGAATATTCCGCTCAGGTTTGAAATGACAGCAAAAAAATTTTAAGAAGCATTTTCCAAAAAATTCCTTCTGGCTCCTCTCCAGCTCAGGGTATTCTGTGAGCTCATCACCTCCCTTCCTGCTTGCCCAGAAGCATTTTCCCTAAAATTCCTTCTGGCTCCTCTCCAGCTCAGGGTATTCTGTGAGCTCATCACCTCCCTTCCTGCTTGCCCAAAATCTCTGTTTCTATGATAATATCTCAAAATCCTGCTCTTGCACTAATGGCACCTGACAAATGCAGGCAATGCTCACAGAGCACAGAAGGGATTAAAGCAGACACAAAGGTCACCCTCTGACAGAGGTGTGACTCCTTGCTCTTGGTTGGAAAAACAGGGATAAAAATAAATGTATGAAAGGCTCCAGCCTCACTCCCCTGTTTTACCTTATAATATGTCAGGACAAGCTGCATCTCCTTGGAGAAAAGCAAAGAAATTGTCTCCAGAGATTATCCTGAGTGCCTAGGTTTTACCCTTCACAGGAGCTCACAGCTGTGGTTAGAGCAGGGGATTCCCACCTCAAGGAAATTGGGAATATTCTGCTCAGGTTTGAAATGACAGTAAAAAAAAAGAAAAAAAAAAATCTAAGAAACATTTTCTCTAAAATTCAATGCAAATTTATGCCTGGTTGAACTTCAACCCACATTCCTTTAGTTCTCAAATTATCCCAACCAAACACTTCATAATAGGGACATATTGTTCCAAACAAAAACGTGCTGCTGTCAAGAGCCTCAGATTGTTCCTCCTCACCACAAAATGCTCTTGCAACACCCAAAAAAAGCTGGGATGTCACACAGCAGAACTGTCACTCAGCTCAGGCTCTTGTCACAATGTTGGAGAGCTGCTCTTTTAACTCTCAACACTCAGGAGATGCTGTAGGGTCACTAAAATTCTCCTTACACACCCCCAGACTAAGATTATTTTAGCTGTGGTCTCTAAAAACAAGTACCAAGAATATCTGTCCAATATTCAAAACTAGAAAAGAACTTTAAATCTTCTGAGAAGGAGAATAAATGGAATTAAAGGTCTGAGATAACTCTGAGACTGCAGAGAACTGTCATTGCTTGGACAGAGAGATGGAAAAGGCAACTGGGGCCAGGGATGTAAAAGTTCTGCATTTTGGTAAAAGCAAATATTCCACAGACTCTTCCCTCCAAGTACAGCTGAGGGACTTTGTGTCCCTTCCAGAGTTGCCAAGGAGAGATCTGTGGATTAATGAATTCATTCAAATTTTAGGGAGTTATATTTAAGAGCTGCACCGCCAGAGCTGACCCAGCATAGCCCTTCATCCCTCCTGTGAAAGGAGAGCAGAGGAAGTGATAAAAAACCTTAAAAGTAATTTCAAACAGTGATTTGTTCATCAGGAAAACTTCTTAAAAACAATTTCAAACAGTGATTTCACCTTCAGGAAAACTTCTCTACACACAAGTGTTGATCTAATTAGACCCAACCACCTCCCAGGTACTCAGGAAAATCTGAGCCTGGGCTTTGGATGTAAGTGAGCTTAAGAGTTTGTAGGATTTTACAGAAAAAAAAAAAATAAAATTGTATTCTGCAACACAAGCAACATCTCCAGTTCTGCTCCAGTGCTAGGGAAATAAGGCCAGGGCTGACTGCCTTGTCTTTAAAAACTGCTGAGCAGCAATGGCACTGGGCACTACGTTCTGCAATGTAATTCTGCCATCAAAGCACTCATGGATGCTAGAATTTCGTTATCACCCTCATTTGATACATAAAACCCCAGAAATGCCTAAAGCCCAGGGAAGGGGCAGTGCACAGATCCAGAACTCTTTGCTGTCACACCCTTCCCATGTGAAAGCCAGCCCAGGGGGATGGATAATGAATGGAAATGGGCTGTTGGACCAAATTGCCCCTGCAAAGCCCAGGCCAGGGTGGTACTCACAGTTCCTCAGGGCATCCCGTGCCCACTGCCCCTCGGGCACCGAGGCTGAGCTGCTGGCTGGGTGCTCATAGCAGGCAGAGGAGTCCTTCAGTGCCAGCTCTGCCTGCTGCACCTTCTCAAACTGTGCCTCAGCCCCCAGCAGCCCTTCCACCTTGGCCTTTTCGGACATGATGGGTGAAGAGGACTGAGGGTTCAGTATCAAGGGAGACTCCAGGCCCAAATCTTTATCTAGAGGACAAAAAACAAAAATTCAGGTGAAACAACAAGGATAAAACTGCAGGAAATTGCACTCTGGAAACACAAAGGTTCTTGAGCGTGGCTTTGCTACAAGGCCAGCTCTTTCCAGGGTTAAAAATAACTCTCTAGCAGTTTATAAATCAGATGGGAAGAGGACAAGGTGCATTTCCAAGAGGTTCAGCATCACTTCTCTGAATTACTTGTAAAGAAATCACCCCTTTCCAGAAAAATCTCAAAGCTGCCTTAGGATCCTCAATCCCCCAGGATTATGGCTGGGCACACCTGTACTCTGTGGAGCAAATCTCCTGCTCCCACTTCCCTGAATCCCTGCTTTACCTGGACTCTGCAGGCTGCTGGCAGGAATGTCATGCTGCTCTTTGAGCTTCTGCTGCTCCTCTTCCTCACGCTCCTCTCTGCAGGGAGGAAAGAACAAACACATCCTTTCAGTCAGCTTCATCTGCAGGGGAATCCATGCTTTGGAGGACAATTTGTAAGCAGGAAAAGGGGTGCTGGAGAAAGAAAAATCAGCTTTTTTTTTCTTCCTGCAGGTTTGACTTACTCGCCAGGGCCTGACTGAGGCAGTGGGATCACTCTTCTGCTGCTCCCCATTTTTACAGTTCCTGCCATCTGAGCTATAAGGTCCTGCCAGCTGCAGCAGAAACAGCAAATAAAACCATGCAGCAAGTGAAGCAAAATAAGCATTTCTCTATTTAATCCTCTTAAACACAGTTGATAGAATTACTGCTTCTTTTAACAAAAATAAATGTCTTTTTTTATTAAGTTCTGTTACATTCAGTCCCCCCAGGAACACCCTGAAATCACCACAGCATAAAGCTCAGCTCACCTGGATGCTCTTCAGCAGATAGAAATGACAGACAGGATCTTATCACTTGTCAGACCAACCAGTTAATTGATATATATAAATACATAAAAAAGCATTATTTCACACATCACTGAAGTGTAATACATGCAACATGTATCCCATAAACACGTTTATCTTTGTGTAGTCTTTAGGAGAAAAGAGTTTCTCCCAGTAAGGCTTTTAGCCATGGAATCCAATTCCTGCAGTGGGGTGTTTATGATGCCAGAATGCAAATCTGCAAACATCTCTGGTGCTGCATGAAGATGCAGGATTATTTCTGTGTCTGATCAGGCAGTCAGGCCCAAAACATTCAGAATTTTAAGAGTAAATAAAAGCATTTTGGAGGTCAGGAAAGAGTTTGGAGTGAGCCAGCTGGGAGGGATTTTCCATAGATGCTTCCTACAGAGACCACCAGGTTTCCAGCTCAGTTTGGAGAAGGAATCAGGGAATTCATGGGGTAAAAGGTCTCTCAGGTCCAGCAAAGCCAGCAGCAGGGGGAATTGACCCCAGCACTTACACATTCTTCTCTGAGACAGTCTGTGCCACCAGCTCGTAGATGTGAGCCCCCGTCGCCGACATGGAGATGACGAAGAAAGCTTTGTTATCTGCACCAACACAGGGAAGGGGACTGAAACAGCTGCCAGCCCCCACACAGCTTCCCAGAAATTCCTACATAACCCAGCCCAAAGCAAGGGAAAAGTCCATGAGATAACTCTCCAACACTCATACAGAAACACTGACCTTGTCTTAGCAAAGAAATGTGCCCTCAAAGGAAAAAACCCATTTCAACCCATTTTGAAAAAGCTCCATTTCTCCTCTTTTCCCTTCTAATAATTTCCAGAGTGCTTTTCCTCTAACACAATCAAAGTACTTTCATTTAAAGGTCTATTTAAAACTCAAGCAAATGCCTATTACTGATGCAAAGAAGTTAAACAGCTCATCCATACTAAGCACGATGTTGGACAACCAAGAATTAAGCCTACGCAGTTTTCCATGTTCTACTCTGAAAATCTACACAAAATCATCTTCCTCAACTGAGCTAATCTTTATTTTTGGCTTCTCTTCTTGCTTTCTCAGTGGGTTGCACTGACCTGTGGCCACCTGGCGAACCAGCACAGTGTTGAGTTTGATGATGGGGCTGAAGGTGTGTTTGCTGTCAGCTGTGGATGCCAGGATCTTGCTGTGGCACTTCAGCACCAGTTTGTCATCTTGTTTCTGCAGCAGCACCAGGATGTCCTCCAGCAGCAGAGTGTACAGATCTGCCCAGAATGCAAAAAAAGCCCCAGGATGAGTTAAAAGATTCCCATCAGAAAGCAGAAAGCTGCATTTCTGATTACTCATGCAGAGGCAGCAATCAGTGCTGTGCCATTCCAGGCAAAGCTTGCAAATCTTCCTGGTGAAAACTCCAGCAGAAAGCTACAGATGGAACTGGATCAGCTCATGAGTGACTGCTGTGTCCCTGCGTGGCCCTAATGATGCTCCAGCACATCTCAGAATTGACAAGAATAATTTAATCAGCTCAGAGAAGCACACAGGCATTATTAGAGGTGGCAGTAAGAAGCATAATTGGGAGCTGCAGCAGAGCTTTTCCCACCTCTCCTTCCCAGCAAACCCACCTAGAGCCAGGGGATGAGGGGATGGCCCAGACTCACCGATGGTTTTGTCACGATTCACCTTCCAGGTCAGGGGCCCTTCATGGAGCATCTTTCTCTTTGTTAGATCCAGGTTCTGTCACCAGGGAAAAAAAAAAAGTGAAATTTCCATGGAAGCAAGTCATGAGAAAACACAGGAATGCCAGAGGGACTCCAGTTTGGAGCCAAGCAGCTAAACCCAGGCTGGGAAAAGAAAACATGGAGCAGGGAACCCAAAATCGTGTCAGAGATGCTGTTTATCACTTTCCCTCTTCCACTGCTGTTTTCCACATGCCAAGTGCCACAGAGTGAGGAATTCTCCCACCAAGTCAAGCTCCTGGGGCATTAGGATGTCACCCTGTTTCCTAGGAGGGGTTTTTCCAATACCCCATATTCAGCTCCAGCATTGCAACTGATGAATGCTGCAGCACTTGATTTGCAAGTCAAGTGTGCCTACAAATTATTTACAAATCATCCCAATGATCTGACAGGTTTTGTAATGTCAATGGATTCTTCAGGCACTTCAGTGCTTTTGACATTTAGATCTGCAGGCAAGCAGAAGTGACAGTTTTCACAATTCATCCCTTCCAAGTCTCAGAGTCTACAATCAGTGACAGCGAGATTTCGTAGCTGCCAGAAGTTCTTCCTTCCCTTGCTAAATGCTTGCAAGTTTATTTGGGGAAGGATACATGATACAGTTTTATAGAAAAGTTGGGTTTTTTTTTTGATTCACACTGACTTTGGGGGAGATGGGGAAGAAACCAGCAGGTAACCAGCTTCCAACAAAACTGCAGGGATTTATAGGAGCCATGAAACAGAATATTTTGAACACTGGACTTCAGGTTTTATTTAGCTGTGTGGATCTGCCAGGTTTCTGTACAAGCTCTCTTTTTAAAGCCAATTCCACTGTTACACCTCAGGGCTCTCCAAGGCCTCCCCATTTCCAACAGCATCACTAAGACATGCACTCACATGAGATAAATATTCACAAAAATCTAATTATCTGCCAGATATCTCTTCTGGGATACAGTGCTTGAGCTTGCAGGCCATAAAGGCTTGTTGCACAGAGCTGACAAGCTTCATCAGCACCATGATGTGCAGAACTGGGCTGTTAGAGCCACAGAAATCTTCAGGAAGGTGGCAAAACTCACATTTCTGAGACTAACTGTTTTCATTTTCATTCAGAAATATTTATCTCCAAAGACCACTTGACTGTGCATCAGAAGAAGCACAAAGTGAACGACAGGGCTGCAAACTCCATTCACCCAGGGCTGGTTTTGATGCTCTCACTCACCCTGAACTCATCCATCATGGGATCCTCTGACTGCTTCAAGTAGGAGAGGTCGAGTCTCCGCTGATAATCCTCCAAATGCTGCAGGAAATGTAAGGAATTGGTCACTTGGAGCAGCAAAACTGCCCCGAGTGCAGCTTTATTGCTGTCCCAAAAGCCCTGGGTGTTCACTCTGGCCCTCCCACCTGCTTGTTCTCCGACTCTTTGACAGCCTGGTTCACGTGGTTGAGGATCTGGCGACAGTGATCTGCTGCTTTCTTGACTTTCTCCTTCTCCTCAGGCAGCTCTGCAAGAATAAAACTGAGTGGGGCAGTGCTTCCCAGCAAAGGTTTCACCAGCCAGCCCTGCGCTGCAGTTTGCCAGCCTCAAATTGGACAAAGAGGGGTTAAACTCACAGAGAAGTCTATCAACAGAAGCACTGCAGTAGGGATAAAAATGAGATTTGTGATGGGAGAGAACTGATTGAAGAAAAAAATCTGACAGTTAACTATGCTAGGTGTCTATACATATGAAAATATCCTGACCATGAGGCAGCTGCAGGCCCTAGAATATATATTATAATGTTAAAGTATGTCACCTGATTGCTGTTACAGGAGGAAGTTAGGGCTTTGAATGGTATAGTGATGTTTTCAGAAGGAGATTTTGCTTTTTTTTTTCCCCAAAAACCCCATTACTCTCTGTCCATAATATCTAAACCTGAAGCTTCTAAAGGAAATATGAAGGAGACTAGGAACACTTGTAAATAGAATAAACCATTGGGATTTGAAGAGAAAGGAAAGGTGAGACATTGCCTATTGGAAGGAATTTCCTAATAAGTACTGCAGACATTATTTTTGCCACTTCATAACAGAATTTTAAGATAGTCTTGATAAAAATATTATCCTCATTGAAATATTCATATTCATTGAAAATCTGAAGCTACATTCATCCTCACAAACTACTGGACCATAGCTAAGATTCTGATGGGTTCTGATGCACATCATCAACACATAATGCAATTGTTACTCCCCCTTTTTTTAGGGCCTTGTGACAGTTCTTGACAATAATGTGGGAAACCTAAAATCCTTATTAAAGTCCTAAAATCCTTACTAAGAGTACATGCACAGGTGAACCCATCAATTCTCACCAGCAGCCACACTGAGAATTCACTTAACAGGAACATCAACCAGTACATCAAAGATAATGGAGTATCACATGCTTTCCTAATTAGGATTAGAGGGAACTTGTAGCTGCAGTCTATTTTTATGAGTAATGAAATTACCCAGCAGCAGGTATCAGATAGTAAAGCTGGGAAGGCATTTTGTGCTATTATTTATCACATTTCTACCTGTTGTGCTGGAAGTATCTTTCAGTGTAACAAATCCTAATTAAACCCCACCCTCTGCAAGAGCATGAGGACAGTCTGTGCTGCTTCAGAGGTTTGATAGATTCACTTATTTCACACTGAATTTCCTTTTTATTTTCCTAAGGAGGAACTAACACTGGATTTTTCTCTTTATGATTCTTTTTTACACCTCCTGTGCAGGAGGCAGCAGTGAGGTCGCAATGAAAACAGAGAGACACATAAAATTGAAGTGTTATTTAAAACATTTACCTAAAAAACCTGCTGAGATGGGTGCCCAAAATCCAGTGGAAAGGCTTTACCTGTGTATTTAGCAATGTTATCCAGCAGAAGGGGGTATTTAGTCAACCTCTGCATCTCCGTGGGGATGATATCCTTCAGCTGCAGCCGCCGGCACAGGGGATTGCTCTCAGCATCCTAAATTTCAACAGCACAATATCTGCATTTGTCATTTTTATTAAGGCCATAATTACCTGAATGCACAACATCTATTCATCACTTAAACATCTATTACTTCACTTTCCAGTAATTAAATACAAGACAAGAGATGCCAAGATCTATCACCCAGACAACACATCCCCTCTCCAGCTGCAATTAGGCAGAGGAAAAGCTCATCACAGCAGCAGTGCCTTCCTCCCCTCATTACTCCCCATGGGCACGGGCCCATCCCCAATCCATCTCAGTCAGCAGCACCCAGGGAACACATCAGTTTGGGCTTTCACAGCCAAACACAGGATATTTGTCAAGATAATCTCCCCTTGTACTCCCAGAGCTCCTCCCAGCCCGTGCTAATGGAGATAATGCTCTCCTGCAAATGCCACGTGGAGGCAAAGCCCACTCCTGGCAGGCACAGCAGCTGTGCAGCATCTGTCTCCTGCTCCTGGCACTCTGCCCCACAGAACCTGGCATCCCTGGGCAGCAGCCACCTCCAGGGAGATGGCATCTCCTGCCTGGGACACTGTGCTGGCCTGCATTCCATCAGGACACTCTGTGCTCCCCAGAACTCAGGGCTCCTCCCTCCAGAAACCACCAGGAGAGATAAATACAGGGCTGGAAATGGTCCCCAGCTGAAGGCAGCCTTAGCCATGATGTCACTGATAATTGCCATTAATTATCAGAGCTTTATCTAGGAGGATTCATTGGGCTGTGCTGAAGCAACGCAGAGCTTAGGGGGTTAAACTCAGAGCTTAGGGGAAAGAACTCAAAAGTCTGGTGGAGAAAACTCCCAAAAGCCTGGTGGTGGAGAAAACTCAAAGCCTGGTGGTGGAGAAAACTCAAAGCCTGGTGGAGAAAACTCAAAGCATGGAGGAGAAAACTCAAAGCCTGGTGGTGGAGAAAACTCAAAGCATGGAGGAGAAAACTCAAAGCCTGGTGGTGGAGAAAACTCAAAGGCTGGAGGAGAAAACTCAAAGGTTGGTGGAGAAAACCCAAAGCCCTGTGGCAAGCCCACCTGCACGAAGGTCTGGAAGCGTGAGTCCTTCTTCTGGCGGGACTTGATGACCTCGAGAGCGAAGGGCTGGTTGCTGCAGAAGGTGGCAGTGGCAAGTTTCAGCTTCTCCTCTGCTGCTCCACTAAACTGTGCCAGAAAGCCAAAAAAGTCAAGTTTAGACAGGCTGGAGCTCAGCACGAGCCACCCTCAGCAGGCAGAGGCACACAGGACTGGGATCACCAGGAGCAAAGGAATTATTGACAAAAATGAGGAGGTATTTCTGCCCTGGTTTAAGGCTTTGTCTTCCCAGAGGAGACCTTTACATCTCAATTCAGTTCCCCTCAAACCAGCCCTCCAACATCACAGAAACCCAGACTGGTTTGGGTTGAAAGGGATTTTAAAGCTCATCCCCCCATCATGAGCAGGGGCACTTTCCACTACCCCAAAACACCCTTGAACCATTCCAGGGATGGGGCAGCCAAATCTCTCCATAAAGATCTCAAAAGTGAAGCCTGCAACAGCACTATAAACTCCAAATTTATACACTCTAAGATTAGAAAACAGTATTTTTAATCATCTTTTCACTGCACCGCAGGCAACACCAGGCTCACATTTCAGTGTTACTAAAATAAATCGTGCCACTGCATTTTTCAAAATCCCACTCTCACCTTTATGTACCCAAAAGTACCTGTCTATTCTACCCACACATCCTAAGGATATTATTCTTGTACCTTAAATGACTCTCATCTCCAGTCAGATGAAAATCCTCTGAGCTCTTCCTCCTTTCCTTCCCCCCTCATCCTCCAGCTCTGTTCTGGCTCCAGAACTCGCAGCCCTTCAGTTCCCATTGCTGGGAATTACCTCCTCCAACCTCTGGCTCTATTGGTCATTCCATGAGACATTATTTTCAAATATAAGAAATATTAAAAGAATTTTACCCAGGAGAGCAAATCTTCCCCAATTTGGCCAATGACAGAAGTCTCGTTCCTTTTTCGGACAGATTTCATCTGATCGTTCAGTGCAACTTAAAAACAATGAAAAAAAAAGTAAATTTTATTAATAGTGATCAAAATGCTGGCTTCATTTTCAGTATTTAACATAAAAGCTATTCTAGGAGAAGATCAGATTCGAAATAATTTTAATTAGCTAACAAACAATATTCTGCAACTTAATAAATTTAGAATATCTAATAAGTATCCTTAGCACTTGTGTCTCACCTGGCTTCAAATGACCCCTAAGAACCATTCCAAACTTATGTTTACTGAGGCTCAGTATCATTTTTCTATAAACAGGAATAATGCAGAAACCAAAAAGCCACACAACTGATTATTCAGTGGCTGAAATTCCTGCTGTGAGCAGTCCTTTCCCTAAACCACCCTTCAGAAACAAAAAGATCAATCTCCATAAATCTCTTTTCTGCTCTCTTCAGGAAGAATCTCAAATCCTGGCTCATAAAGCTCTCTGCTCCTTTCATCAAGCATGAATCAACACAGATAAGGGAAAGGAACACTGGACACACGATTCCTCATCAAAATATCTTTGGGAATCAGAAATGGAACAAGTGTGAGCAAAAGCAAGCCCAGGGCAGTGTCCTGAAGAATTCTGCTCTACATCAAGAATTGGGTGAAACTGTCTCGTGTTTGCTTCAATTTTTCAGCCACTGGATGCCAAAATTGCAGCATGCAGCTGCTCCTACCGTGCAGCCCAAGGATGTCCTCCAGGTTGGAGAAGATTTTCCGCTTGTCACTGGAGCTGAGGATGCCCTCCCTGGTGACCCTCTGGTAGAAGACGTTGTGCAGGACCTTCAGCGTGCGCACGTGGGCTCGCTCGGTGTAGAACAGCTCTGGGGAGACAGCGAGAGCAGCACAGGTCAGCTCAGAGCAGCTCCCTCAGCAGCATTTCCCTCCCTGGTCCCCATTCCAGGCCCTGCTGTAATTCCATGTTTGAATTGTTTGTAAAATTCCATCGTTTACCCCAAACCAACTGATCTGAGCTTGCAAATCCACGCAGAGGTTTCTGCAGGAGCTGCAGCTCAAACCTGCTGAGGGTTTGGGAGGAGCGTTTCCATCACCTGCTTCCCAGAAAAATGAGCTTTTCTTGTTTTTATTTCATAGAACATATTAAAAAACCTGGCCTTTCAGCGCCTTAATATTTAATAACCACTTGATATTGTTTATTTCTCCTCTAAGGACTGGATCAATCTCGCCTCAGGTTATTTCCCAGTAACAAGCATGAGTTTCACAGCTAAGAACTCTTCAAAGCAAAAGTTCTACAATTCTCCAGCCACTACTTCACAAAATCACTGAGGAGAAACCTAATTGTAAATTTTTAACAACTTCAAAGCTGCAGGGGAAGGTTTCAACTCCGAGCTTGGCCAGGCAGGACAGAACCTCCATCTCACCATTTATCACTTCCTGACGTTTGATTTCGTAGGGTTTGAGCCCCATCAGCACCTCCCTGCTCACAAGCTGCTGCCAGTTGGGAGGGTCCATGTCCATGTCGAAGTCATAGAGCTCATCCTCACTCTGCACATCAGCAAAGCCAACACTGTCCATCCTGATGGGAGGAGGAAAAAAAGTGAGTTAATTCCCATTTCAGCGAAAAGCTGAGTACATCAATCAGCTTTATGAACACACTGTCCCTGCCAGCTGGAGGCTGTTTGGTGCCTGAACCTCTGGGCACATTCTCTAATTTTGCCCTTTCCAGATTGACTGTTCTGACAGTGTTTTCATAACCCTCCTTTTAATGGCACAGATGAAATCATTTGCAGTCAGATATCGAGGCAGTGAAAAGGGCAGGTTACAGTTTCTTGCCTCTATCTGCAGGTACAGAACCAACAGCAACACAGGTTGAAAAGGAAAATGGGGATCTCTCTACTCCTTAACCCAGCTCCCATCCACTCAAATCAGTGGACACAGCAATCATTCCACCTCACTCTCAGATCAAAGGGGTATTTTTGTATATGACTCGCTCCACCTGCCCTACAAATGGCTGCCAGTGTCTGATTTCATGTGTTCTTAAAGAAAAGGGATCATGCAGACAACTCTGCTGGCTCAGAACAATGAGCACTGCTGCATTCTGCTTCATAACTGCTTGAAATCCAAACAAATTCAGTCGAGTTCAAGCATTTCTAAGCACACTCACTTGCGAAAAGGTTTTGGCGTTCCCATGTCAACCATCCTGCAAGGAAGGAAAGGAATCGTTAGGGAAGCTTGTGCCTGAATTTCTCCTTGCTCACAACGACTTCAGAATGGTGGGCTGAGCTCCAAAGCAGAGTATTTTGTCCCCTCTCCTGACACTTTTCTATCACAGCAGAGACACAAGCCAAAGTTTCCTAATTCTACCAACAACATTTAACACAAACAACATCACTGTCACTTTATGTACTGAATTTCAGCAGCCAGTCACGCTGACAAAGGAATCTCTACCATGATCTTTTCCAACCCGTTCCAACATCTCCTGACCCTCTCTCAAGGCTCCCAGAGTTACCTCTCAGACTCTCCCTCCTCCTCCTGCAGGTTTTCCAGAGGAGATGGGAACTCAAAGGTGTTGTTGGGTGTGCGGGGGGTGCCATCCATGGAGTCACTGGCAGGTGGGGCTTCCCCAGGCTGCTTCACACCTGGGCACAGGATAAATGTGACAGGTGAGGAACCAAGCTAGAGCACATCAGAGAACCTCCCAGCCTCTCCAGAGCCTCTTGATTCCAGCTTCAGAGCTGGAGGAACTCGATTCCCAGGCTGCTACCAACAAATCTCAGTGACAAAAGCTTCAGGTGGCACCTGGTGGGTTTTTCCTGTTGGATGATCCAACGGTGTCAGAACCCACTAACAACCACTGCTGCTCGTGGCAAGATTCCCTAATTGAGGACAGCTGATTAAGCTGAGGAAGAGCAGCTCGAATGACATCAAAGCATTGCCTCATTGGCCCAGCTTGTTGCATCAGTGCTCTGCATGCCAGCGTTCAGGAGCACACAGAACCACAGGATATGATTATCTGCAGGTGCTTTTATTGAGAGCTCTGGGAATCAGGAGTACAGACCCAAATCTGACTCTCAAATCTGACAGGGCTCTCGAGCTGAACGTATTTTATATTCTATCGTTATATAACTTACATATTAATTATTAAACTTATATTGTTCTATTGTATACATTGACTTCATTCAAACATGAGTTTCTCGTGATCCTTCTTAGGCCCCTGACCACAGTTTCAACAGTAATTATATTTAATTACTAGACAATCATCACATCTAACAATTATATCATTTATCATGTACCAGCTACACAGGTGCAGTTCTAGCAAGGTACAAGGCCTTCATGTACCCGGGGTATTTTTTTTTCCAGGGCCTACTAAGCTGAATTTTCCTTATAACCCTAAATCCCCATGATTTTAAAACCTTTTTACTATCATGCACATCCTGTCCACAGCACAGTGAAATGTAAATTTTAAGGGATTTAGAGATTTTAGAGGAGCTAAGAATTTAGTTAGAAATAAGCCTTACTAGAGTTAATTAAAATAAATGAGTAGGCCTTGATGAAGTTAAGAGTTAGTAGTTAACTAATAACTGATTGCTTGTCAGCACAACGTTGAGTTAGCTGGGTTTATAATGAAGAATATAAACTGATAAATTGCTTTTAGGAACATCAGACAATTGTGGGGCTCCTCTGTTCTGAAACCAACTGAAGACAAGGAATGGGAGTTCTACCAAGAGTTCATTTGTCATGTTGGCATTGAAAAGGTGGAAAGGTCAGAAGGAGGAAGACTTCATTGACTTCCTCATTTTGGGACCCCTCCCCATGGAAGGGACACCGACCCATTCCAAGGAACAAACCACGCATGCCGAATGGCTTTTGGAGTGATCAGCATGGGAAGTGAGGAATGGGATGTACCAAAATGATGAATATGGATTTGTATTTTGGTTATTCAATAATTGTATGGATAAAAGGGCTCTGTAATCACCTGGAAGCTGCGGTGTGGACTTGGGAGTGATCCCACACACAATAAACACTCACTTTCTAACTTTAAACTGTTGGAGAGTTTCTGTCCGTCACAGCTGGATATCGGTACTAGATCAATATGCATATTTTTAATAAATCACAGCCTTCAACCCTACCTGTGTCACTGTCCTTGCTGCCCTCTGGAGAGGCGAAGGGCCCCGTGGCCAGGGGGGACATGGGGTTGGCAGGGGGGTAAGGGGCATCTGTGCCATCGCTGGAGGAGCCGCTCTGGCGCATCTTGCTGGACTCGGGGGGCTCTGGGCTCACAGAAGAGGCTGTGGGCGAGTGCTTGGGGTGCCTGGGCTTCTGCATCTCCATGGCCCTGCCAACTGGACAGAGAGAATCATCACCC